CCCTCTTCAAAGGTCAACCCGGTTGCTGATCAGTTCTTTCGCTTGGTTGCATTTCTGTTTGCAGGTGAGGAAGTTCTATCGGAAAAACTGGCAATCTATGAAACTATTGCACGTAAGCAAATCGATGACAACTGCTCAACTGCTGCAAATAGTTTAATAGTGTCGATTTTTTTCAATTTCTCGTCTGTCTCCTCCTTTTGTTGGTGGCCTCTCTCACTCTCTCGCATTGCTTGTTCTGCCTGCCTATCATAAAAGGGTGAACTTTGGAGCCCAAATGAAAAAGACGAGCAGGGAACATGGCGCATATTGAAACCGATCTTTTGCCTTTTTTTCTGTGCAGCAATTTTCTTGCTTTCTTTCTTAAACCAGTAGTTTGTCTGAGCCTCTTTTTCCCGAGGCGGTCAAAGAAAAAAAAGAACCGGCGTGCTCCTGTAGTTTTTTATTTTCGCCCTGTTGCCGCCAAGTCTCTGTGGGGCGTGGCATGTAGACCGCTCTATCGTAACAAAGTGGCTGTGAAACGCACTGGTGGTTTATTAGATATGTATCGAGGCAAAACCAGGTGTCCACACGATGCATCTTGCCTAGATTTTTGTTGCGAACTGGCAGGCCGGTACATCCTGCCAGACGCTGCGCGAGCACTTTGCGTCGTTGGAAAATGGCTGGGAATGGTACCAGTGGTTTAAATCTTGAAAAGCTGAAGTTAAGATTCGGCGTGGTTGAGGGGCAGGGGGGGATGGCTGGGTGGCTAGGGGAAATGCTTTCCACAGACTGCAACACTGCAGGTCCGCTCTGCACCTTGCGATGTGCAGTTGGCATAGTTCAGGCCTGCACTCAAACGGCTTGCAGGCTGCAATGTGTCACATGGAACGGTGGCAGGAGGACGGAGGACGAGGAAGGAGGAGATGGTGGGAAGGCTGTGTGCAGACTGCAACACTGCAGGGCCGCTCTGCATGTGCAGTGTGCAGAGCTCAAACCTGCACTCAAACGGCTTGCAGGCTGCAGTCTGTCACATTGAACAGTGGCAGGACAAAGAAGGAAACGGAGGAAAAAGAAGGGAGGAGTACGAGGAGTAAGGACGATTAGGGGACATGACGAGGAGGGAGGAGGAGGGAGGCCATCCATGCGAAGAAAGTCAGCCAAAAAAAAAAAAACAGTGTGGCACGCTACGACATGGCGAGCAACAAGAGAAGAGGGGAGGAGGAAAGAGGATGGAGGAGGAAGGAGGAGAAAGGAGGAACGAGGAGGGGGAAGGAGGAGGGTGAAGGAGGAGATTGAGGGAAAATGACGAGGAGAACGGAAGAGGAAGGAGGAGTACAGAGGAGAACGTAGATGGCGGCAGAGGAAAGGGGAGGAGGGGATGCTTCTGAAGTGAAGAAAGACGACCCCCCCCCAAAAAAAAAGTGCACCGTAGAAGAACTGGGGAGGAGGAAGGAGGAAGGAGGACGAAGGAGGAGGAAGGAATAGAGAGGATGAGGGGAGATGACTGTGAGGAAGGAGGAGGAAGGAGTAATGAGGAGGAGGAGGGAGGAGGGGAGGCTTTCCAAGTGCGTAGGCGGTGACGCAATTTGTCCAATTTGAAAACATATATGCAAATTTCCCAGAAAGTCGACCAGAAAAAAAAAAAAAAGCCGCGCTGCACTGCCACATGGCGCACAGCGGGAGAAGAGGGAGGAGGAAGGAGGGGGAGGAAGAGGAAGGACAAGGCTAGAAGGGAAGCACATCAACCAAAAACAACCAAAAAAAAGCACAGTGTGCTGCCACCTGGCACGCAGTGGGAGAAGAAGGGAGGAGGGAGGAAAAGGAGGAGGAAGGCATGCAGCTCTCTCTCTCTCTCTCTCTCTCTCTCTCTCTCTCTCTCTCTCTCTCTCTCTCTCTCTCTCTCTCNCTCTCTCTCTCTCTCTCTCTCTCTCTCTCTCTCTCTCTCTCTCTCTCTCTCTCTCTCTCTCTCCCCTTCCGCTTTGATCTTCTGGGGGGCGGTGGCGCGCAAGCGGGTACGTAGAGCGCTGGAGGCCGGAGGAGCTCTGTTGATGGAGGGGGCGGATGCTTCCTTGATGGAGGCACAGCAGGCAATAGCGAATAGCAGGTGGGCGCGCTTCAACGCTGGTGGAGACAACAAAGTGGCAAGATGAGTGGCGCGTGCGGGCGGCTGTGTCCAACGTCCGAATTCAAATTCGGACATTGCCAGACAAGAACGGCGGCCCAATCTGGGCTGCTGATCTTGTTGATCTTAGATTGGGCCGCCAACATGAGGGCCTACCGCAGTCCACCATGACCTGAGTTTTTTTCAGGCCTTGGCTGGGATGCGGAAGGCCCGATATGACAACTATCGGGCCCGAATCAGCTCAGCACGAAAATGCGCTAGGCCTGCCTGTGGCCCGACCGGGAGGCCCACCCGTTCAGTTGGCCACCGGTGCGACCTCCCAGGACCCACGCCTGGTTTTGTAGCACAGCAAATGCTACAAGATGTACATACATTCTGCAAATAAGAGTAAAAATTTACTACCTTGGAAGGTTGCTTGTAGTTCAGAGTTCAGACAGCAAACATAGTCAAGGTAAGGACAAAAAGAAATGGAAGTAGCAAGAATCTCTGGTGTGGATCAGCCATCATCTTTGGCATGTCCAACAAAGGAAAGAGAAACGGTGATGATGTGACCTGAACCCAAGCCGAGTCAGCTGACAGTTCATATCAGCCCAAGCCCATGTAGAACGGAATAGGAGTCAGGCTGATTTTCTGCATATCTAATCACCTAAGAGATGCCTAGTTGTCAGTATGCCGCAACTCCTAGGTTCGTCATTTTGCTTCTCCATTTTCCCATTTTTCAAGGGAGGGTTGCTCCTTACTGTATCTCGATCCCAGCGTTTACGAAATGGTTAGCTCCAGATTTTCAACCTACCGTCTTCAAGCCGATTGAATTAAACAGCTGGTCATTATCGCTGTATCTAGAGTGTAGACTGGAATTGGCCCAAATAGAGCGATAATGACCAGGCATTCTATTCAGGTGAAGACAGTAGTACGCAAGGCTCTCCCAGGTTGATTGATGATCAGTGGAGCACACCAATGCTAGCCCAGTGTCAGTAAATTTGTGAGTTCCGATTCTCCAACCTACAGCGGCAGTGTGGGGTCGCACGCTTAATGACCCTGGTCGTGACGTTGGATGACATTCATTGCTATCCTTCAGGCTTGAACTATAGTTCCTTCTTAACCTCTCTTGTGGACATGTTATCCGCAAAGTTTGACGACGGTTCGTTCCTTCTCTATGCAGATCACTTCACTAGAGAGGAACAAGTTGGTGCCACCTGGTAACAGTGGAGGGCAAGGAGAACAGCAGGCAGATGCTGATGACGAGAATGTCGTTGGGGAGGTGAAGAGAGAGGTGGGGTGGAGAATGGAAGAAGCAGATGAACAACAAGAGAGGGATGCTGATAACATTCAAATGGATGACGGGAGTGGATGCACCCGCAGTGACGGGCACGCTATACCTTTCTTGTGCAAGCTTCATGAGGCTCCTCATGCGCCATTGACAAAGGATGTGAGTGATGATGTTGCATGTGAGGAGGAGGGTGCAGCGGAGAAGGTGGTGGAGGTCTGTGAATCATCTTGTTATGGGAATTGGGGGGTTAGTGATTCATCTCACAGTGCGAAAGTGACAAAGCCGAGAGAGCAGTATGACCCTGCGCATTCGATTGGACGGTTTGCTGCACCAGCTGCTGAAGGGTTTGTGGGGTTTCCTGTGCCTGTGAACTTCTCAAGTTTTAGCATGGAGGGTCTGAGCTTGAGTGAACTTGGACTTCGTAGAGTGGGGCGGCGTAGGCGGCTGCTCGTGTCGACTTCGATGGGAAGTTTGCCTTCTTATGGACGGAGGTTATCTCCTTCAGTCAGCAGGACCAGCATCAGAACAGAGAGAGTCGGAAACTTCAAAGGGAAACAGGGGTTCAACTTGTTCTTGCGCGCCAAGAGCCAGAGGGAACGTGACATGGCAATGGCACGCCGCTCGCGTGCACAGACATACGGCACAATACATCAGCACTGGTCAAGGCAGCATGGTCAGACAATGGGTATGGTTCCTGGAGTGTTGAGGCGCGAAGCTGGCGGAGCGGGGGGGAAGGGCTCGAAGCACAATGGTCCAGAGACGGGAAAGCCCAGAGGAGGTTGGGGATGGGTTCTGCTGGAATCCTGGATGCTTGACCGTCCTTGGAGAAATCGTTACTTCCGTGACCCAAATGATCCCACAGGAATGTATCTGATGGAGTGGATTCCTCCTGATCATCTCGCGTTGGCTAGGGCACCACTAATGGAAGAAGAATGTGGCAATGGCAACAGGAGGCGCAGCAGCAGTGTGGGTGCTATGGGCGGACACGGGAGGAAAGAGGTTTCATCTTTGGCAGGTGCACCTCATACTCCAGCTGTTAATGAGGATGCACTGCCTGCTCATCGCAGGTCGGAAAGAACTGCGCCACGAGCACAGGGTGGGAGGGCCGCCACAAGGTCTGGACCGCCTTCTGGTTCGACTGCCGGGCAAAGCAGTGAGCCCTCTGCAGCTGTGTGTGCAATCCCCCAGGGCACTCAAAAGGACTCCACCTTGGGACCTCATCAGAGTTCTCAGACAGGTCATTATTCAGGTGTGCGACACACTCAGACACAAGCTCTCTCAACGGCAGCAGTGACTCGAGATGCGGTGCATTGTACAGAAAAAATGTCAGCGGCAGCGGTGACTCGAGATGCGGTGCATTGTACAGAAAAAATGTCAGCGGCAGCAGTGACTCGAGATGCGGTGCATTATACAGAAAAAACGTCAGACGAAGGGAAAAACTGTGGTGTGGCAGCTGAGAGTGAAGGTGGGAGAGTGGCAGTGGCAGCAGCAGCAGTAACAGCAGTCCAGGGTCATAAACACAGTGGACAGCATTCCACAACTGGGGGGGGGGAATGCACAGATGAAGGCGCAAGCGATGCCCATAATCTAGAGAGTGGATGCCAGCCATATAACGGGCATGCATCAAAGGCAGCAGCAATGACCACATCCACGCCATCCGCCTCCACAGGTAAAGTGGGCAATAAGGAAGGTGGGAGCCTAACAGGAAAGGATGGGGCTGAAGTGTCACGGAGGTTGGCCTTCAATTTCGATCCCCTTCGGACACCCTGGGTAGTGGACAGTTTGCCTCCCTCGACAGGGGCATCAACGGAATCCCATGGTGTAAGTCTGTGTGAGCAGGAGGAACCACCTATGGACAAAGCCATGTATGTAGGGTGTGATAACGAGGGTGACGTCAATACCGAGCCGGTCTTCCGCAGGGTTCTCGCAAAGCCAATCTGGCGCTCCAGGAGCTCATCCAAGTCCAATGATAGTTCTGGGCTTCGTCATTCCGGCAGCGGCAGCAGTGTCACTAGTGCGATGTCGCCCTACCAGTCCAGTGAAAACCTTTTTCAGAAGGCTGCCCACGAAGCAGACTTCTCTGTAGACTCCAAGATCCTGAGCACTGACAACTGCCTGGAGAGATGTGGGCCAAGCTCTGCAGCTCAGGTTGCTAAACCAGAAGGTACTCTTTCTGAGACTGCTATGACACAACAGATCACGGGACGAGAAGCTGCTCTGTCGAAGTCCAAAGGCAGTGAGATAGAGGTGTTGAGAAAGACATGGACTGGAAAAAGTGGAACGGAGACCAAAAGTCAAAGTGGTGTGGATGGTGGAGAGGGTGAAGGGAAGGGAGAGCTCATGGGGTCAGCGACATCAGACCGGGAAGTTTCCGCATCTTGCACAGGCAGACTGAGCACCAGCGCACAAAAGGTCACCTTGAAGGATATGGGAAACCAAGCTTCAGTCGCAGAATGGTTGAAGTCAATCAAGAAGAATAGTGAAAATGATCATTCTCCAAGCGCGCGGGTGGTAGCCACAAAGCGGGTTCTTCCCGAGTTCCAGCTTGCTAGCAGTGCAGTTGGACCAGATCCCATCCAGAAAGCGAACACAGCGGAGGACGGCGGAGAAGGGGTATCCAAAGCCGAGGAAAAGTCTTTGCCATCCTCCTTGTCCCCAATGGAAAACAGAGGAGAAGTTCCAACAGTTTCAGCAGTTTTGTCCTCTGCTCATTTTGGCGGATCCGCAGAGTGGACCAGTGATCGTGCCGATGAAATCCAAGTGCAACCAACTCGGTTGTCATCAGCAGGTTCAGCTGTGGTTGAACCATCGGCTGCAGCTCTATCAAGTGGAGTTCAAGGTCAAAGCCATCCACTGCCCAACTCCATGTCTAACCAGAATGCGCTTCCAAACTCGACAGAAGATGAGAAAATGGATAAGATCAACAGCAGATGTGCCAAGGAGGAGAAGGCAGATATGTCAAGGGCAGGGTGCATGGGCCTTCGAGAGCAACAACTGAGTGGGTTGTCTGCCATGGTTCGTGGGAAGGGTGAAGGTGTGAGGACAACAACAGACAAGCTACAAGAAGGAGACAAAGTGGGGCTGGGGAGTGGCAATGTCAATAAGAGATACTCACTGCCTGCAACAGGCCTTCCAACGACAAGTATGAGGAGGCAAGCATTTTCTTTGGGTGAGTCTTCTCCTTTTGTGGGAGATGCAGCAGCAAACAAGGAAGAACCGCCTACAGATGAGGGAGATCGCACTCGCTCCAGTCGTGAGGAGCCGGCTGGTCCGCCATGTCTTCCTTCGGAGACTAGTCCTGAGCAGAGAAAGCTGCGAAGTCCTATGCGGAGTGTCTCACCAAGCCTGAAGCCTAGGAACAGGCATGATGTGTCCGGCACAGAGCCTACACTGGATACTTCAGTACCCTCACACAGATCTTATGCTCGGCGCCCTGTATCCGCTGGACCTTCTGTTGGAATGGGCAAATTCTCAGATCCTGCGTCTGCCAACACACAGAGAAAGCTGCTGCCCGATACGGAAAGGACCACATCAACTATGATTCCAAGGTACCGGCAAAGCATTGCAACCTACATGCCATTATCATCTTGTGGGTCTGCAGGTGATCGTCGCCCACTCTCAAATGTGACAGCCACAAAGGATGATTTGAGAGCATCAGCACAACGACTTGCTGCTGCATGGCATGTGCCAGCAAAGAAGCTTGGCGTCTCTGCCTCCATGTCCTTCATCCCTTCCACGCTCTCGAAGTCTCCCATTGAAGACAAGGCTAATTCATCGGCTATGTTATCTAGTTCGGCCAAGGCACTTTCGCTTAAGGGAACCACCTCAACCATGCATGGGAGGGTGAAGGCAAAGGATGTAGGGCGCTCAGTTGACGCATCACCAGTTCAATGCACACGGATACCTCTGCCATCAAATGCGGAAAGTTCAACCCTGGACCGTTCACATCTAGTTCGAGAATCTGATGACAAAAGGCGTTTCAGCACCGGTACACGCAGGCCAGTGCTAACCCCAGTTGAGGAGCAAGCAGCAACCTCTGCTGGTGGGTCTGGTGTGACAAATTCAACCGTCATGCCCTCATCACCTGTCGAGCCTTCCAAGCGAAACCCCCAAAATGTGATGATCAGTGCCTGTTACACGCCAGCAGGGGCAAATGACAGGGCTCAGCTCGATAGAGACCTCATTCCTTTGGTTCAACTTGGTGCGTCACCAGGATCAGAATCTCGAGCACTGGACGATTCCGCAAGCACTCACTCAACGGAACCAGATGGTAGAAACGAAGATCGTCATCCAAGAACTCGAGCATTGGCCGCGGTCCAGACTGCAGGCTCACGGGCCACGTGTCAGTTGGCGAACTCTCTCCCGGTACCATTAGCAATGACAGAGTCAGTGGAAGATACTGCTGCAGACGAGAAGCCGGAGACCACACGTGATTTGTCGACTCTCTTTAAAAAAGTATTGAAAACACATGTTGAGAATGATGGAGAGGTTCTCCCTAAGGAATCATCAGGGCTGGCAGAGTTGAGGGAGGGATATGGTGTGGTTACTCGTGATCAGAATGATGATGATGTTGGCGGAGGTGATGATGATGGTGATGATGACACAGTTGTCCAACATCTTCCAGAGGGTGATAGTGAGGAGACGGAACCAGAAGAAGCCGCGGCTGCCTCTTTATGCACAAGTCAGTCAGGGTTGAAACCAGAGCAGGAACCCCTAGGGGCTCAAGGAGCCCAAAAGGGCGGAGGTAAAGAAGGCAGCATTGCAGTGGCCTCAAGTTCTAGTTCAATAACGAACAAGAAACCGCGATACAAGTCATCTTCACATGTTTGCAAATCCTCTGCCTCAGTAGATGCATCCTCCGGAAGCATCAGGGCTTCCCTATCATTGCAAAAGGGTGATCCGATCGGAGAACAAGAAGTAGCGAAGTCGAAAACACTGTCAGGAATCTCACCGACAACACCGGATCCTTCAACTCGTCCTCATTCAGGCCGTGGCCGCTCTCAATCTGGAACGGCGACAGCTTGTGGGAAAGGAAGGGATGCTCCTGTTGGAAAGCAGCAGCAGCAAATGCGCACATCAATCACAAAACCTTTAAGACCACTGGATGTGGAGGCTCAGACTCATGCACAAGAGGGGAAGAGCCATAACTCAAGGCTACCTTCAGGTCCACAGGCAGTTAAGAAGGCAAGCAAGGTGACCACTGGGGTTAGCAGTCCCAGAGGGAACGTTAGCGAGGATGCGCTAGCAGCAGTGCGGCTGAGCTTTCAGCAGTGCGCAGCTGCCGGTCAGACTCGTGCAGGATCAAAGTCAAGAGCCCCCGTCTCTGAAAGCGGTAGAGTGAGCCTATCCTCCGTTGGGCCTATGGGACATCATCCAGATGATGAAAGGGAAGCTGATGCGGACTCCAAAGCTGATCGGTGCCTTACAGATGACAGCCATGCAAGAGAGGGTGTGAGGGTATCAGTGGATGGTGCTCAGAATGATGCAGCCAAGGGCATCAATGTCGGTGTCAGAGACAGTGCAAGAATCACGGAGTGTCCTGAAACAAGCCAGGGTGTGAGTCATCGAGCTATGGGGGCCTCGGACGAGGCTCGCATGCATGGACCTGCATTGGACAGCATGGATGGCACAAAGTGTGATGCACCTGAGAGGAGTGAAAGGTCGGCCAGTGTGTGCCCATCGAGAAGTGGGTTGAAGAAACCAGCAGTTTCTCGAGTGTACGATCATTTATCGGAGAGCTCTCGGCCCAACTTGCATCACTCTGCACCAAATGTGAGAAAACTCGATGGAGGCACAGGTACAACTGCCCGCAAGTCAATGAGCAAGGCTGACATGCACGCAGTAGGAACTCAGTCACCGCATCGGAGGTCCTCTTACCCTCCTTCTGCCCTAAGGGTGGTGTCAGCAGGTTCTGCTGAGGCATCCAGTTCGGATGGGAAGAGTTCACAGCACTCGCGTTCCGCCGATACCGCAAAGGCCCACAAAATGGAAGAGAGTGCCAGCAGCAAAAGCACCAGATACAGTGGAGTGGCGTCCACTCAACAACGAGCTCCAAACCATTCAGCATCTTCGACAAGAGCAACATCGATACCCTTGACAGCACCAGCTGCAAAGGAAGCCTCCTCGAGGCACCGCTTGAGCGCATGAGGTTGATCAGTGTCACACAAATCGTCATGTACTGATGTTGCGCATCATATGTGACCGCAGCAGAGGGACACTGTGGGTGAACCAACAGCAGAGCCATGAACACGTGGCGTCCTTAACGGAGCGGGAAGTGGCCAGCATCATAATAAGATGATCCAAAAAAGTGCCGAGCTGGCAGACAGGGAAGTGCCGGACCATTCTTCAGAGTGGAATGATTTTGGGCATCGCTCCACTACTCAACATCCGACTATGAATCTGGACTGCTTGTGGACCATATCTACATTCAGACTGATCAAAGATTATGAATGCATCACGACCATTACCAGTTACCGATACTTTTACATGTTGTGCAGTGGAGCGAGGCGCTTTGTTCCACGTGGCGGAGAGTCTATCTCCTCCCTGTAGTGTGGAAAGTCGACCAGACCAGTTTGGGTTCTTGCCGTGTTGTGGAGACTGCAACGGAAGTTGCAGATCCAATAATCTTGATTATATAGATGAGGAGGTACATGCCAGATTCTCCAAGTGGAATGGGAGAGCCAAAGCAGATGTATCTGATCCTTACACAACGACCTAGGAGGCATATGCAGGTATGATTTTTTTTTTTTCTTTTTTTTTTTTGGGTATGCAGGTATGAGCTTAAGGGATCTATCGGTGGTGGGTGAATGAATGAATGGGCTAATTGTTGGAGAGAAATTCTGCCTGCGGTGATGCTTCTAGGACTGAAGGTGAGCTGGCTGCTGAGCAATTGTGGTGCCTACCTTGGAGTTCACAAATGCTTTTGCTGGTAATTATTTAAACTTAAGTTAGAAAGAATACGCAACACGCATAGGCCCTATAGGGACAGTAGGATATAGCGATTTAAGACAACGATATCCCTCCAAGAAGACGTGTGGTGATTATTTATACCCTCACAATGCATAGTGGTACTGACGTGAACACCTTGAGGGTTGTGTAATCCTTAGAATTGTCGGACGTCGAAGTAACGCCCCTGTGTAGGGAATACATCAAGCAGCCAATTTTCAGCTGTGACACGGATGTCATTCTAGATGAAGCCAGGAGTCAAGCACTGCGGATTTTGGTGCGTCCCCCCTGTATATGGAATATGTTAAGCCGCAGAGAGGCAATTATTATACGATGAATTTGATGCGAGAGAACGCGGGGTATTGTGAATCTCAACAGGCATTCGTCCTCTGCTGAATGGCACTGGCTCAGGAACCATTTTATTGTCACCTGATTGTAATGTTAAGGAAGTGGGAAAACAGCAGAGAAGTGGTAGGCGAGGAGAAGGTAAAGGAAGGGCAAGAAGAGGTGGTGGAGAAGAGGGAAAGGAGGAGAACGATAAGGAGGAAGAGGAAGAGGAGAGAGAAAAGGCGAGCAGATGAAAAATTTGATGCGAGAGAAAGAGGGGTATTCTAAATCTTAACAGCAAAGGAAGGCGGGCATTCAGTGGACTACGATAAGGTAAATATTTTGTTAAGAGTTTGAATTAACAGCGTGGCATTTTTGCACATCGGGTTGGTTTCAGCATAGGAGGAAGGAGGAGGGAGAAGCTGGAGGGAGGAGAATGGGGAGGAGGAGGAGAAGGAGGATGACGAGGAGGAGGAGGAGGGAAGAGGAGGCTGAGGAAGAGTAGGAGGAAGAAGGGGAGATGTACGAGGAGAGGGAGAAGGGGGGCAGAAGGTAAAGATGAAGCAATAAACTGGAGGAAAACAATTCTGAACCTCGACAGCAAGGAGAGCTGCAGATTCGCCGGTTTGTCGTAAGCTAAGTGAAATGCCTCTCACAGCTTGATCGAGCAACGCTATGGCTATGGCTATTTGCTATGGCTATTTGGTAATCGGTTTGGTCCACAAGAATGGGGTTTGATTCTTAAGGCAACTGATCCAGTGTTTGAGAAATCCACGGTTGGAGATTTGCTGATAGTGATTTTATAGAGAAATACGTGGCTATTTATGGAATTGGGAGAGTAGCTGGAGTAGTAGGACTCCGAGGGGACTGGTTGTGGACCCCACCATTTCTCAGGTGAATCAGTATCGATCCGATGTCGATCCGATGACCATCTCGTTCACAAGATGAGAGGAGCAAGCATTTCTCAACGCTACACTAAGCTTGCTACCTAGTGCTCCAGATGCATGTAGCAGAGAGAGAGAGAGAGAGAGAGAGAGAGAGAGAGAGAGAGAGAGAGAGAGAGAGAGAGAGAGGTGGTGATGGTGGCTTGATTGGTGACTCACCTGGAAGCTTCACATTCAACAAGGTGAAGATCTCACAGACAGAGAAATGGAGAAAATTATGGGACGCATGGAAATGAACCGCATTGGCTGAGTGAGGGAGGAGTGAGCTGCAGCAAAAGCGCGGAGGAATCTCTACGGCCAATACAATAGTCTTTGCCGGCAGGAGGCTTCCGGGATATACAGCCACATCCCAAGAGTCGGTGTCGGGGTTGGAGAAAGGCGATTGTTTGAGAACACAGGATGCGAATCTGCGCACCAACTAGGAGGATTGCTATCCGTGAACAGCACCACGGAGTTGCGGGGACAAACACAACGGCACCAGTCAGTTGTTGGTTGGCGCATAATCCGCGCAGTTTATTGCCTTGTAGCTGCAGCCTTGGAACTTGAACTGAACCCCTTCTCAGTCCTATTTCCGGTTTTCAATCCCAACGTGTGTAGTAGTAACCGAAGCAATGGCTATCACATTTGAGACCAATTAGGAAACTGTTATTTATCATTTGAGACCAATTTGGAAACTTTTATTCCCATTTGCGCAGGGAGTCAGCGGAAGTGCCAATTGGGGGGGGGGAGAGAGAGAGAGAGAGAGAGAGAGAGAGAGAGAGAGAGAGAGAGAGAGAGAGAGAGAGAGAGAGAGAGAGAGAGAGAGAGAG